ATTCTTGGCACCAGGTTCTATGCAGAACCACTGTCAAAAAATCTTCTATATGGAACCATCTACAGATGATGATCATGTGAAGGGTTCTTTGAGTGTTCATGGTTCTATATAGAACCAATTTCTTTACTAACCCTTGAAGCACCATCTTTTTAAAGAGTGTATACAGCACATTCTCCATCATTCTGAAGAACCATTTCAGGCTGCAAAGAACCATTTAAGCAAGAAAAAGAATAATACTAATAAATATAATAAAAAATAGATAAAAAGTACAATAAAATAAATAGAGCTATTCCCTTTACTAAAGAACCCATGAGGAACCATCATTTTTAAGAGTGTAGGGTTAGGTTTAGGTGTAGGTTTAGTGTTCAGGTTAGGCTTAGATTTAAATGAATCTATCGCTCTCAACCTGAAGTTCAGTTTCATTTAATACAGAGGTTCTCAACTTCAACCTCAGGGTCCACCATACACTGTTAGTAATAAAGGTTCTGTGCAGGTACATTTTTCCTTCATCAAGGTACAAACAATGTAAATGTTCCCTCAAAGGTACAACAGTGGTTTTAAGGTCTGATTGTGAACCTTAAATAAGTTTTTCCAGGTGAAAAGTTTCGTATTTGTACCTTTTTATAACAGAATGTTTTAAAACAGAGCAGTAAAATAAAAGCCTGGAGGCGAGACGGGGTGTGTGGAGTCAGTACAGCTTAGAACATATCATTTCAGTGGATTATGGTTCAGTTATGTTCCCTGACTGAAGGTACTGAGATGTACCCTTGAGGGAACCACCCCAGTGACAAGAGGGGCACTGTGACAGTAACAGCTTAGTACCTTTATTTCTGAGAGTGTATATCGCTAAAAAAGCATGAAGGCCAACAGGAAAGCAAACATAAAAAACTTATTTGCTTAATAAATCATTTTTAGGAACGTTTTCAACAGCAGTTTTTGGTTGGAACAACATGTCACGTCTATCATCGAACTTTAGGTGAATGTAAGCTTGTTTTATACCTGAAATCAGGTGTAATGGTGGCAATTTAAGCTGAACGTTTTACTTGTGTAAAGAGATGTAGTTGCTTTGTGCACCATTGTTGCATGACTTGTATTAACATTGTTCACTGTTTGAGAACATTTTATATGTCTTTCTTTTATTTAGCCAATTTTTTCACTGATTTTTATAACAAAGTACCATCACTGGCCCACTATGGCCCACTGGCTCCTCCTCAGTACTCACCCGAGGACCACCAGAGGGAGATGTGTGGCCCACTTGTGATCTGCGGCCCAGTGGTTGAGAAACCCTGGTTTATTGGACATTTAGTTGAAGGTTAGTGGGAGAATGAGAGTGAGAATTTACAGCGTACTATCAAAACTAAAGTGTGACTGTTGTTTATTCTTTAATTTCATTATTATTATTATTCCCATCTGAACCTTTGCGTGAGGATGACGTGTGCCAGCCACATAGAGCTCTTTCCATTAGAAAGGCTGTGGTCTTTTCTGTTCATCTCTCTGTATGAGCTGAGAAGTGGAACTGACTGTGAATACGAGCGGCAGCCGAATCAGTGCACTGCGGACGTGTCCATAAGCGGGGTCCAGCTCAAGCCTGGTTCCAGAATAAAAACATTGAGGGGGCATCAGAAAATAATGGGGATTCACACTAGAAAATGTATTCAAAAATACTCGGCTGGCATTTCTTCATGATTACAGGACTAGAAATCAAACAGTCTATGAACCCACTGGACTGTCTCAAGCCTTGTTGGCTAATCTAAGACGACTGCAAGCGAAAAAGTGGCTCTCAGGGCTCTTTTCAGTTGTGCTCCATATGAAAAACAGTGCAGTGTGTTTTCTGTTCGGGATGTTTAAATACTATGTGTTTTTTAAAAGCACACTTGTTTGCTAAGTTTGATTCATTTCCCTGACATCTGTGTTAACGACAGAAGACGCAAACTGCAGCACGTTACACAGACGCCATGTAGATTAATGTCTTCATACTTCACTACCAGAGCCGTCCTGAGTACTTAGAAGTGTACATGCGCACTACAGCAGTGGAGTTGGTCAGGTTTGGCTGCCTAAATGGATTTTTCCTAAAGCTCAACTGAGGGTACAATGCACAGTTTTGCACTGGGAAGAACCATAGAGAGGAATCAAGACTCAAAAGAAGAAACTCCGTAACGGCATAGGAAATTACCACCGAGAGGAACCAAGACCCAAAACTCCCCAACGGCATGAGAAATAACCTCTAAGAGGAGCCAAGACTCAAAAGAAGAAACTCAAGTGTTTGAGGAAGAAAATATGAGAGGAACCAAGACTCAAAAGGAAAAGCTCTTTAAGAACATGAGGAAGAACCTCTGAGAGGAACCAAGACCCAAAAGGAGAAACTCTCTAAGAAAACGAGGAAGAACCTCTGAGAGGAACCAAGACTCAAAAGGAGAAACTCTCTAAGAACATGAGGAAGAACCTCTGAGAGGAACCAAGACTCAAAAGGAGAAACTCTCTAAGAACACGAGGAAGAACCTCTGAGAGGAACCAAGACTCAAAAGAAGAAACTCTCTAAGAACACGAGGAAGAACCTCTGAGAGGAACCAAGACCCAAAAGGAAAAACTCTCTATGAACATGAGGAAGAACCTCTGAGAGGAACCAAGACTCAAAAGGAGAAACTCTCTAAGAACACGAGGAAGAACCTCTGAGAGGAACCAAGACCCAAAAGGAGAAACTCTAAGAACACGAGGAAGAACCTCTGAGAAGAACCAAGACTCAAAAGGAGAAATTGTCTAAGAACATGAGGAAGAACCTCTGAGAGGAACCAAAACTGAAAAGGAGAAACTCTCTAAGAACACGAGGAAGAACCTCTGAGAGGAACCAAGACCCAAAAGGAGAAACTCTCTAAGAAAACGAGGAAGAACCTCTGAGAGGAACCAAGACTCAAAAGGAGAAACTCTCTAAGAACATGAGGAAGAACGTCTGAGAGGAACCAAGACTCAAAAGGAGAAACTCTCTAAGAACACGAGGAAGAACCTCTGAGAGGAACCAAGACTCAAAAGGAGAAACTCTCTAAGAACACGAGGAAGAACCTCTGAGAGGAACCAAGACCCAAAAGGAAAAACTCTCTATGAACATGAGGAAGAACCTCTGAGAGGAACCAAGACTCAAAAGGAGAAACTCTCTAAGAACACGAGGAAGAACCTCTGAGAGGAACAAGACCCAAAAGGAGAAACTCTAAGAACACGAGGAAGAACCTCTGAGAAGAACCAAGACTCAAAAGGAGAAATGTCTAAGAACATGAGGAAGAACCTCTGAGAGGAACCAAAACTGAAAAGGAGAAACTCTCTAAGAACACGAGGAAGAACCTCTGAGAGGAACCAAGACCCAAAAGGAGAAACTCTCTAAGAAAACGAGGAAGAACCTCTGAGAGGAACCAAGACTCAAAAGGAGAAACTCTCTAAGAACATGAGGAAGAACCTCTGAGAGGAACCAAGACTCAAAAGGAGAAACTCTCTAAGAACACGAGGAAGAACCTCTGAGAGGAACCAAGACTCAAAAGGAGAAACTCTCTAAGAACACGAGGAAGAACCTCTGAGAGGAACCAAGACCCAAAAGGAAAAACTCTCTATGAACATGAGGAAGAACCTCTGAGAGGAACCAAGACTCAAAAGGAGAAACTCTCTAAGAACATGAGGAAGAACCTCTGAGAGGAACCAAGACTCAAAAGGAGAAACTCTCTAAGAACACGAGGAAGAACCTCTGAGAGGAACAAAGACCCAAAAGGAGAAACTCTAAGAACACGAGGAAGAACCTCTGAGAAGAACCAAGACTCAAAGGAGAAATTGTCTAAGAACATGAGGAAGAACCTCTGAGAGGAACCAAAACTGAAAAGGAGAAACTCTCTAAGAACACGAGGAAGAACCTCTGAGAGGAACCAAGACCCAAAAGGAGAAACTCTCTAAGAAAACGAGGAAGAACCTCTGAGAGGAACCAAGACTCAAAAGGAGAAACTCTCTAAGAACATGAGGAAGAACCTCTGAGAGGAACCAAGACTCAAAAGGAGAAACTCTCTAAGAACACGAGGAAGAACCTCTGAGAGGAACCAAGACTCAAAAGGAGAAACTCTCTAAGAACACGAGGA